CTGCTACTATTGCTACTACTGCTACTACTGCTGCTGCTGCTGTTCAACCGTTCGAACTGCTGTTACCGTCTTACTTTTCGTAGATGCATGTGCGGATTGCATCACATGATCTCATGCAGTACTGTAGGGGAGGCGCCAGCCAGAAGAGCAGGAATGCTGTGTCAAAGGCTGGTTGCTTCATGTGTGCCAGCCCTTCGATTTGAAATATTATATACTGTATTATATACTGTTCTTATTGACAAGCTCTCGCGTTGTTTATCTTGTCGTCTTGTGATGCTCTACATGCCAATTCAAGCCTGATTTTTGGAAGGCAAAGTCTGAAACTTGAAGCCACCCAGCATCACCTTGCTATGCACTGACAGACACCAATGGTACATGTAGGGCTTTCGAATTGAACCTCTACATGTTCGACCTGTAACGTCTGCCCATCGGAAAATCCCTAAACTCTACTGACGCCTAAGCCTAAACCCGCGTTCCTGACAAACCTCTTCTTTTGGCTACCGTTGCCGCTGGGTCCACGCACCCTCACGATCTGCCCTCCCGGGCCGATCATCGCACTGACCTCCGACGGGAGGCCACCGCTTCTTTTTGGAGTTGATCTGGCTTCGGGGTGTCGGGGTTGCGAACCAAAACAGGTTTAGGGGTTCAGGGATTGTGGGCCCAAAATAGGGTTTGGGGGGTTTCAAAGTTAAGGCACTAGTCGAGATTTCAAGTGCTACTGCTGCAATTCTGATTCCTCCTACTGTGCCTTCCTGCATCTGTTTTCGGCTCTGCTCTCTGCCCTACATCACGCCATGCCTCTCTTTCTCTGCCATCTGCGAGGTAAACTCAGGAGCTCTGCCAAATGGCCCTCGGATTACCCTCGGGCAAGGGCCCTTTCAAGACGAGTACTTACATCAAGAGTACAACTATAACAACTCGAATAAGGGTTTGGGGGTCTGCTGAACGACCCCTGACTATCGCACGCTGACTGTTTTCATCGCGAGAAGCACAAGGGCCTTCTGCGGTGGCAACTCGCAAGTGACCTCGTACCTGGGTGCAACTTAAATTATACAGAGCTACAACCCATCAGGAGCAGCAACGGCACCACAAGCACGACAAACTTGACACAGCTTCCTTGACGGATCTCTGGATCACCTCCCAACTTAGAGACATGCCTGTAATCGTCTTGGAACTTTGACGAAGCACTTCTAGCAAGACCACCAAAGATCAGCCGGGATGCTCGTAGTCGACGGCACCCGGCTGCATTCCGCTGAGGGCCGATGCCAGCATCTAGCATCCAAGAAAGATCTTGGGGCACCCTTACAAGTTCGAAATCTGAAGTCCAAAACCTTTTTGGCTAGCAGCAGGACCGAAGCCCAAAAGGAGAGTGCCCGCATGATTCTATTACGGCAGCAAAGGCCTTCCCCATAGTTACGCAGAACTGAGGTTCGAAGCTTCAAGGCATCTTCATGAGTCTCCCTGTTATTGCAGTCTACTGGTAGAGACGGTCTCATTCCTGACACTCATCCAGTCTGAAAACACCCAACTTGTTCGGCAAGAGCTCTTGGATCAGACAGAAGCTGTCCCCGTGCAGCATCGCAAACCCAAAACTCAAAAACGAGTCGGAGAAAATCAGGGACACTGACGCAGACCCTAGAACCTCTAAGCGAGGTAATCCTAATTGCAAGAACTCACAGAAAGTCGCTCTGCTTGGCCTCCAGGGGCCCGGGTGCTGGCAGGTGTGCCCTCGTGGCTGTAAAGCGGCCTTCAAGGCAGTTGGTGAGGCGTAGGGGGATCTGCTAGTTCGCGCAGGCCCACGTTCTGTCTGCAGGCATGCGAGCCTAGGGCGTAGGTTCAGGACTAGGTATACATGCGTGCGTAAAAAGATGGAGTATGTATGTGCATGTGGGTATGTATGTATATGAATGACCCTATATATATATATGTATGTATGTATGTATGTATGTATGTATGTATGTATGTATGTATGTGTATGCATATATGCACATCTACATACTATATATATATATATAGATATGGATATAGATATAGATATATAGATATAGATATGGATATAGATATAGATATAGATATAGATATAGATATAGATATAGATATAGATATAGATATAGACATAGATATAAATATAGATATAGATATAGATATAGATATAGATATAGATATAGATATAGATA